CTATCTATATATATATATATATATGTATATATATATATATATATATATATATATATATATATATATATATATATATATATATATACGTATATACACACACACACACACATATATATACATACATATACACATACATAACCTCGATCCTCACCCGAACACCTTGACCATCTTCTCGATCAGGAACGAGTAGAGGGAGCAGGAGAGGGAGTAGAGTGCCATGCCCCAGCAGCCGAAGCGCACGCCCTCCTCGTACAGGGCTCTCGCCACGCTCCCGTCCGGTGCCTGGGGGAGAGGGGGGGAGGGAGGGCAGGGACAGTGCCACTCGATTGTTAAGTTTGCTCACTGTTTTGCGAGGTTTGTAGGTGAGATTAAGTTGATGAACGGTTTAATGAGATTAAGTTGATAAACTGTTTATGGGAATAGTAAATGAGATTAAGTTGATGAAATGTTTATTGAGATTGATAAAGGGGGATGATTGTGATTCGTAATGGTGTTTTTTTTTGTGTGTAAATAATAACAATTGTTATTGTGCCAGATGTAGAATAGTGCAAGATATGCCGTTGACGTTTTGACACCCTCATCAGAATTGCGTGGTTCTGATGACGTTAAAACAGAAATGCCATTTACATAACTTGCACTGCGACCCTATTTTTCATATTCTTTCACACCTATTCTACAACCATCGTGGATTTCAAACTGGTAAGTACGAATGCAAATCATATTACACGAATCACACTTTTTTATTTCTCCTCCTGATCAGTACCTCAGCTCCCATCACACACAAAATCACTAATAAAATGAAAAACAAGAATTCTTTCTTTCCTCTCACCCCTAGATCCCCTTATATTTTTTCCCTCGCCTCCTGACCAGTACCTCAACTAAACTACCCATTAAAACACAAACTACACTCATAAAATAAAAACGAGAACGCTGTATCTCTCTCTCTCTCTCTCTCACCTGAGGATCCCCACCAAACACCGCCTCCCCCACGAAGTCAGTGAAGTAGAGGGAATAGCAGACGAGTGACATCCAGCAGAACAGGTTCGTCAGACACAGGATACGGAGCGACTGTGGAATAAATGCAGGAGTCTCAGTCGCACTGAAGGTTCGTGTTGCGTTGTTAACAGAATGGTATGAGTTGTATTGATGGGGTGTCTTGCATAGTTTGTATTCATTTATTGGTACAGAGTCATATTTATCAAGGATATGTGTTGTAAATTCCTGTTTGTCATGCAGGCTACTATAGAATCATTATGTTGCATTAACATAGAATATATTCACCATATACGTATTACAATCTCTTCCTAAGGTCTGGATAATTAGTGTACAATACTTGGAAATGAGTACTTACCTTAGGCATGTACACGATGGAGAGGAGATACTGCCTTAGTGTAGCCCCAGGGACTGCTGCCTCTTCGCCTCCGTCAGGCATTTGCTCTCCCTCCTTCACCACTGCGCTGGGTTCCTGGCCCACACAAGGTTACAAATATTCTGTATTATCGAGTGATTTTGCAACGACAAAGCTGCAGATGACATTGTCTACCAATCAGGTACTTGCATGAGGTGTTAGTAAATCTAATGTTTATTTTTAGTCTTAGTATTGCTATTTTTAATAAAATAGGGAAAAGGGGTTATGAAGGAAAAAAAAAGTAAATGAGAATAAATGATAAAAAATATATAGCTAAAAAAAATGATAAGAGAACATATGTGAGCGTCCGTGTGCTTGTGTGTGTGTGTGCTTTTGCGCATACGTATGCGTGTACGTATTCGTATGCGTGTGTACGTGCGTACGAGAATCTCAAAAGACAACACCAGCGGCTCGAAACCTCCTCCAGTCAGGACTCACCTGCTGGTTGAAGGACGTCTCCTGGTCGTATCCCGCCTCGTCCTGCTTGTCCTGGTACCCTTGGCTCTCGCCCTCAGGACCTGCGTACTCCGGCTGGCCCTCCACGGCCGGGTCTGCGCTGTGGCCGTTTTGCTGCGCGCGAGAGTGGAGTTGACGATGAGGTAAGGGGATGACGTGGAAATCGAGGCAAAAAGGGATAATAATGGTGATAATGATATACTAACGGTATTATGGTGATTGCAGTGATATGAAAACAATATGATGGTGATATGATAACGATAGGACAGTAATGGTAATAATATGATGGCACAGATAATATGATATTTATGATATGAAGATAATCATGATTTATCATGATAACAACAGTACGGTAATAATGACACTAATATAACCAGAATGATATGATGTAAGTAATGAGGTATCATTGATCATGATATAATAATGATAATAATATAACAATAGTTGTTGTTTGCGAGGACGATATAAGACTATCACAGTGAAGCAAAGCAGTGAAAATAACAAAGAAATGCTGATAATCAAGATGATGATGATAAAATGTGATCATTATAATACTGATAAAATATGAGCAATGTGATATGTGATCACACTAATATCAAAACAAAGAGGTTATCTTTTTAATTTCAACCTATATAT